AGAGCAGAGGCATGACCAAGCTCAAAACAAATGCATTAGACTGGTTAAAGAAATTACTGTCAGAGACAGGCCAGCATACTACCTTAATGCTCTTATTCTATAATTAGGAGACAAAGTGAAAGTGTTTAAGTCACCATCGAAGGCAGCTTCCAGCTGAAGACCGTAACTTCAAATGTTTACCCTGTTCAGGCTTACTGAAAAGCAAACTCTACTAGTTTCTATTTTTTTACATAACTTCCAGAAACAAGCCTCTCAGTGTCCTCTAGAAGTTAAGTTCATAGCTGGTTTTAGTTTCAATGCTTTTCTTGATATCTTATTCAACAAAGTCTTATTCCCTCTGGGCATGCTTCTGTGTTATCTTGAAGATCACAGTACTCACTCTGAGTTGCACTCTCCTTCATCAAACATTGAATAATCCCTTTCAGGGCACATTTTCTAATTAAATCATTCCTTTGCTCAGCAGCTCTGTGCTTAGACTAATACTACTTCAACTATGTATTAGTATAGTCAGTGTTGCACCTCCACCTGTCCTGCCCAATACAGTTCATCTCCCCGGAGGCATAACACTAGTATCACAGCACGTACCCATGCGCATATTAGCATTGCCATTTTTATAAGGAAACAAAAAGAAAATTCAACTACAAACATCCCTTCACTTTATCACTGCCTTTGTTGGACTACTAAAAGCCTTATTTAAAACAAACAAAAAATAATCAACTGACATGTCTAAAGAAATAACCCTACTGACCCTACAAGCTCTTCAAATGGCAGCCCTGTTCCTGCTGATGGCCTAAAACCAACACTCCTCCTCTCATTGGAATGAGAGGTCAACCTTAAAACCTGGGAGTGCTGTCATTTGAAATTAGTGCTTGGATTTGCAACAACGGTGTAACTCTAAGAATTTACTCCCTGCAGAGTTAAGAAGTTCGCAGAGGTGCTGCTTGCTTGGAGAACAGATCAGAGAAACCAGCTTCTGACAACAAGGCCACATGGGAAGTCTCAGGTTTTATGTCTCTGTCCCACGTGCTTGGCCCCGGCAAAGGCTCAGGACATGTGGGCTTTTACTGGTAGAACAGAGAAGCAGAAATGAAATTCCACCAAGTGAAAGTGCCCTCAGGTGCAAAGATCCTGCCAAGGAGGGACAGAGTCACAGCAGCACAAGGTCTGCCTTCACAGGGCTGGGCACAAAGGAACTGTGTGAGGCCTAGAACAGCTCCACCCCCTTATTCTGGAAAACCAGACATTTAAACCAAGAATTTAAACTTTTTCTGCCTAGGCCTTCTTGGGGCTTCCTAACCAAATTATTCTTGCTAACTCCCATTTTTTTATTTCCCTCAGCTTTCCTATTCGACTTTACAATCAGATCCAAAATCAGAGCTGTTACCTACTGCAATTGTACTGTTATTTTCTGTCATTTTCCTGTATACCCTTCTAAAGAGGAAGTTTTTTAAATACCAACTTTTTTTTTCCCATAGCCAATTTAGAGGGCACAACATAAATATTTGAAACTTCTTTATCAGGATATTGTTACTTTTCAAGAGTTACTTGAAAAGGTCCCCATAAAAGTTTTCAGCTTCTCTACAAGAGCCTCCAAAGAAGAGGTTTTTTGACCTTATCTAAGATTCAGAGTAGAATTTTTTTTCCCTCTTTTGGATGGTTTGGGGGGGGTTGGGTTGTTTTTTTTTTTTTAATCTCACTCAGATTGATCTAGACTAGCTCTACCTCAGTCTCTGTGACATCTAGAAATGCATATTAATTATAAACCCTTTCTTGCCTTCACATGCACCATATTCTATGATGTGGTAGTAGGGACAACCATTCAGAGACCAAGGGAAGACTGGTTGCTTTTACTTCCTTAGAAATAGGATAAGGAGGTGTTTCAGGGAAGAAGGTGTTTTCTTTTTTCTCCTGGAAAGAGGTACAAATTTTCAGCTACAGTAGATCAGTGCTAATTTTAGGAAAAGTTATCCATATTCACAAGATTACTTATGGAAAAAAAAAATCCAAAGAAACTGACGAAAGCATTTATTTCTGAAGGTCAGCAAGTATCAAAGCAGTCCCCAAGGGATGCCTTTGACTTTCCACAATCTGCAGTGAGAACTCCGGCTTCTGCAATTTCCATTAAGCAGCCTTGTTTGGCTTTCTAATCATCTGGACTTCTTCCAGAAATCAAAGCCAAAGTTGAGATCCTCCTTTTTTGAAGGAGAAAGTCTTTTTAGCACACCGAGTAAGTTTTGAACACACACTGAAAACGTAGACAGGTCTCGGAATTTACCAACAGTGCATAAGAAAGCCAGACAAGTGTCACTGATGCTACCAAAGTCATGAACATCCTTTCTTCTCTCCTCTACTACAGCATTACATCTAGTGCCTCCCTGCTGCCAGAGCAAAGCTAAGTGTCCCAGGCCTTTTTAGAGGTTCAGATTTGAAAGGCTGCTCTAGAAGTACCAGTCCTGCTCTTACAAAGCATTGTTTATACCTACCTTCCTTTTCAATTTGCTAATTATACAATGACCTGTCAACTGAAAAGCCATACAGCGCATTTTTCTATGTTATCCCCCATGATGGGACATGCAGGAACCATCTGAACAAGAAAAGAACCCAACACATTTCCAGTTTTTCCTAGGTGAACTCTACCTATTCTTACACCCTCTGCCTATCCTCTCAGTGTCCTCAGAGAACCTTCAGAGGCAATGCTACAGGGCCAAGCACAGACACAGGCAGTAACCTACTCAGACTCCCCTCTTCCCTCTTGGTACTCTGGGTTGATATTCTTCTATCCTGTCCTCTAGCATGCATTAGGCACATTTACCTCTAGGAATTAACAGGCTGCTGTGTAAGAGCTATTCACTCATTCCTATTGCTGCTTTTGATTCCAAGTCTTTTTATCTTTGTGGAAAGTTGAAGCGTAATCCTAAAAGAGCAATATCCTGGGTACTCTGGTGAAGCCTATTGTGCAGCTGCCTCTTTTGGTTAGTGTTTCTTACTAGCCAAGTGACTTTCAGTCTTCCCTGTAACACCAACTTAGGAGCTACCTCACTGGTTATGCATTCACCCTCCTCCTTACAAGATTACAAGAATACTATAAGCAACCATCTCCACTCCTGCCCCTTTCCTGAGCCTGGCAATGTCCTAGTGTGAGGGACAGTGTTTCCCCATTTCTCTTCATTCTGTGTTCAGGCTTTTCTGGCCTCAGAACCACAGCCTGACAGTGCTGCTGGTAAGCAGTCTGCCAAAGGGGCAAGTGGCCTCCTCCTTGTTCCTTTTCCTCATATAGTTAAAAATCACAGCTTTTGCTGTCTTATTCTTTTTACAGATCACTGTCCTTTGCCATCCTCCCCATTCTTTCTACCAAGATAACTCCATTCCCCCTTTCTCTTTTCCCACAACGTCTGTTCTTCTGCAGCATTGCAGAACTTTGGTTTTGCTCCACTGACAGTCCTGTTTTCCCTTTCTTGATCCTAGCCTCGAATTTCAAAAACACATTCTGCATTTAGTTTGGGCTAAGATTCATACCATTTAACTTTAGATATCTGAAATTCTGCATCTAGCCCAGACAGCTGCTTACCGGAGAGTCCCTGTAGTCTGAAGAGAGGAGAAGGACCTTCACAGAACAATCCCTCCTCCTCTAAAATACTTTTCTAGAACAAACAGGATGAATCACACTGTGAAAGAGCCCATTAGGGCAGTCTGGCTAGATGGGAATACCCAAACTGCTTCAAGCTGTAAGTTATCTTCATGGCTTCTTTCCAGCATTCTTTTAAATCTGCCTAAGTTATACTATTATCTTTAGTTTCACCTTAAAGCCTTCAATCTTCCACAAGGATCACTTGATATTTCAAGAATCAGAGGTTCTGTTTGAATATCCCCTCAGGGAAGATGCAGACTCCAGGGGCTCAACATCCCACTCCCTTTATGTGTCCTCTCTTCTGGAAAATCTATAGCACTGCTTCAAGATAGATGCTCCTACTGATGTGGGAGCCATCATCGTCTTTTCTTTTAGTCTTTAGACTACAGGAAGGAATGATGAAAGCTCTCCAAACTTCCTACACTGCACTCCTACACCACCTTCCTTATTTCTTCTAAGATCAGTGTCATGGCAACTAGCACTTCTCATCTTCCCTTTGTAAGCTGATGAATTGGTTTAGAGGCACTCCATTACCAATGCTCTTTATTTGCATTTCTCTAAAATAAGTTGTGTTGCTCTGAAAAGCCTGAAAGGTTTTAGCAAGTGCTGAATAAACTAAGTAGTTCATGTATAAATAATATATCAGCTATCACTACATTTTTAATGGATGCATCATGAACATATTTTTAAATAGCTTATGTTATTCAGAACGGCTCCTGCATCTGCTTCCCAATCCCATATAAGCAATTCCAGTTTCACAGTTCTGTGTCCATCTAAAACATTAAACATGAACTACTTGGACATGGCCTTTTCAGTATTGCCTCCAGTACAGCTTCACTGCTGCACAGGAGACCATCCCACTCCACAGGCAGCCTGCTGACCATGGTGGGATGGCTTCAGGGAAAAGGTGCTATTGGATATTCTCCCATACTTCCTCCAGATTTATCCACCCATATCTTCTTAAAAAGATGATGCATTAGAGGTGTCACTGTAAATCAGATAACATGCTGATGAGAGCTTCTACTTCTCCCTACCCTCATGAAACCAGGGGCACAAGAGGCATTGGGAAGTGTAAAAGTCAGTCATGGGGTAGTCAAGTATGAAAGCCACGTGCACAGGGAGCTGTCCCCTGCCCTGTTAGTCACTGGGGAGTCAAGCATGAAAACCACCTGCTCGGGGAGCTGTCCGTTGCCTTGCAGGGACACAGTCACATGGGCTACAGCTCTAGAAACGCAGCGCCCTGAAGCTGGTGAGCTCCAGGCCCTTTCAAACTCAGCAGGCAGCTAAGCCATCTCCTCTCTTGTCCCCCAAAGGCTGTGACTCACACAGGGCCAGCCCGCGCCAAGCCACCGGCTCTCGCCTCCCCACTTACTCCTCTTTGCGGTGAAGTTCCTCCTCGGACTCGCTAAGCCGCTGCTTCAGGGCTGCGATCATCTCCACGGCCACGTCCACCTGCCTGCTCAGGGCCCGCTCCCGCCGCTGCACCTCCTGCTTCTTCTGGGACAGCTGCACGAACGCCGCCCGCACCTCCAGCAGCTCCGCCGTCTTCTGCGACAGCTCTTTGGTAAGCTTGTCGATCCGCTTCTCGATCGTTTTGTCCACGGCATCCACCATCCTGTTAAACTTTTCCCGGACATGTGCCTCGAAGGAGGCTTTGGAGTCAGTGGCCGGGAGCCCGGCTTTGGACACCTGCTCGCTGGGAGACTCAGCCGACACATAGTTGGCCAGGTAGGAGCCGGGGCGCTCCGCGGGCAGCTCCCGCGGCTGCCCGCCCTTCCCGCTCCCGCAGGACGCGCCGCCCAAGTTCAGGAAGGGCCCCGCGGAGCCGCCGGGGCTCCCCGGGCTGCCCTGGGGCGCGGGCTCCGGCGGGGACACCAGCTCCGCATCCTTCAGCGGCGAGAACAGGCTGCTCCTGGCCAGCAGGCTGCTCTCCTGGAAGCTGTGGCTGTACTCCAGGTGCACCCGCAGGGAGGAGAGGCTCCGGAACCTGGTGTGGTCACCGCATCGCGGGCAGCGGAAGGGGAGGCTGACGCTGCCGAGCGGCTCCGGCCAGGGGTGCCCGCCTTCATCCCGGGCCGTCTGTTGCATTCCTCGCCGGGAGGGAACAGCCCGGGTCCGCGCCCGACGGGGAAACTTGGGAAACTTTCCCGGCGATTCCTCAGGGGTGCCGCGCCATCTCCGCCCGGGGACGCGCCCGCCCGGCGCGGCGCTCCAGCCGCCCGGCCCCGGCGGCTCCGCCCGGCGCGGCTCGGAGCGGCTCCGCTCGCCTCGGCCGCCGCCGCACGGGCCTCGCCGGAGCGGGGCGGGGCCGGGCTCGGCGCGGGCCTCGGCGCCCGCAAGGTCGCCGCACTCACCCGACTTGTTGCTGGCGGCGGCGGCGGCGTTTTCAGCAGAGCCGTAAATCAGCCCGGGCGCGGCGCCGCCGCCGCGGGGCGGAGCGGGCGGGGCGGGGATGGGCAGAGGGGACCGGCGGGGATGAGGATGCGGAGCAGGGATGCCCAGCGGAGGATGTTACGGGTGGGCGTGGGTGGCAGCACCCGGCCGAGGCCTCGGGGCCGGGGTCGCTCCCCTCCTCCTGCCCCCGCCTGCCGTGGGCGCCGGGCCGGGGGGTTTGCGGGGGGGGGTTTGGAGGGCGCTGGTAGCGGTCACAGCAAAGCAATGTGTGAGGTGCGCGGGGTGTGTCGGGGAGATGCTGAAAGATAACGCAGTTAAAAGCACTTAAGCGGCAAGATACGACTGGCACGTGTAAATAGGTATAACCTGGCCTTGGCTTTGGGGGAGTATAATTGTTTGTGTGATTCTAAATCATAGAATCATAGAATCAGCCGAGCTGGAAAGGACCTCTGAGATCAAGTCCAACCCTTCTTTTTTTTTTCAATTTTTTTTAAATCCAGTCCGGGTTTTCCCCCATTCCGTACTCCAGACAAATTCCAGTCCGGGTTTTTCCTCATTCCGTACTCCAGACAAATCCAGTCC